TTTTGTATTTTTAGTAGAGACGAGGTTTCACCATGTTAGCCAGGATGGTCGCGATCTCCTGACCTCGTGATCCGCCCGTCTCGGCCTCCCAGAGTGCTGGGATTACAGGTGTGAGCCACCGCGCCTGGCCGACAGGTGCTTATTAAACATTTCTTTACTAACAAATGAGAAAAAAAGTCATGGTATTTTATTAAACCATGTTTCCAGTCCCTCTTAGAGCTTCTGATCTGTGCACCATTGAGAAGCACTGCTGTGCTGAACTGCTGTTGCTAGTGGAAAGGTATCATATCCCTCATATATGTAAAGATGAAGAAAGAGATCCAAACCCCTGGTTGAAGAATGACTCCAGTGCTTCAGTCTGCTGGTAGGACAGTGGTACCAGTTAGTTACATGTCTAGACGGGGGTGCTGATTGGGGGAAAAGATGTTGAGTTTCTTTTTAAATATATTTAAACATTTTTTGTAATGATGGAAACAAGTAGACAGGAGGTGTGTTAGTCTGTTCTCATACTGCTATGAAGAAATACTCGAGACTGGGTAATTTATAAAAGAAAGAGGTTTAATTGACTCACATTTTTGTATGGCTAGGGAAACCTCAGGAAACTTACAATCATAGCAGAAGGTAAAGGAGAAGCAAGCACCTTCTTCACAAGGAGGCAGGAAAAGAGAGAGGGTGGGCCTTTGTACCCCCACACCAGCCAGCCGTTGGATGTGGCCTGCCTCCCAAAAAAGGGTCATCTCTAGGAAGGGGGACAAGGTGCCTCTGTCTTCCACCCAGTTTCCAGAGAGGGCTGCCTGCTGAGGCTGGTGGCCAGTAGCACTTCCAGCAACTCTGACGGGCAAGTCCACGGGGTGAAGCATGGTGTCTATCATGGCCATTAAATTTTGAATTTAGAAAATCACTAATGAATTTTTGACCCAATTTGTCACCAGATCTTTACCAAGTTTGACGACTGTGCAGGAGGAGACCAATAGAAAATTTAAAGAAGCAAAGAGAATTGTTAGATTTAATCAACCAAGCAGAGCTATTAGAGCATCTCATCAGCAATTTCTTACAGTTGGTTCTGAAGAAAATGGTTGTAATCAAGAATGTTTTGAGGCCAAGTGATGAGTCTCCTATGTAGTTTTATATATGATATGTAGTTGAAAGTATATTGTTGGTATCTGGCATATAGTTATATCTATCTTCTCTTGCTGTGTAATGAACTGCCCCAAACCGTAGTGGCTTGAAATCACCAGGTATTTGCTTACATTCTACCCAGTGAGCTGAGTTCACCTGGATGCTTCTTTCACTGGGCTTGCCTGGCCTTACTCATGCAGCTGCCATCCTCTGAGGCATAACTGAGACTGGATGTTCCAAATTCCTACCTCATGCCTGTCACTTAGCTGAACTGTTGGCCAGGGCAACTCAGTCTTCCCTCAGAGCATCCCCAGCAGGGGATCCCAGCCTTCTCAGGTGGGACTGGGTTCAATGAGAGCAAACCCCAGTACACAGGTGTGTATTAGCACATTGAGTTTGTTATTATTTTATTGAACAAAACAAACATGAGAGAATCATACCTGAATGAGTCATACATGAATCCTGGGAGGTGTGATCCACTGAAGTCATTATTGTAACAATCTACCACTGCCTGCACTCAGACCCCAGTTACTCATAGCCCTCCCAAGACTCTCAGAGTCTCATTCCACCACAGCATCAGGTTCAAAGGCCAGGATCTACATCAGGTCTGGATAGAAATGGGGCTTTCCAGCTGGGTTTGGTGGCTCATGCCTGTAATCCCAGCACTTTGGGAGGCCGAGGCAGGTGGATCACTTGAGGCCAGGAGTTTGAGCCTGACCAACATAGTGAAACCTCATCTCTACTAAACACGGTGAAACCCTGTCTCTACCAAAAATATAAAAAATTAGCCAGGCATGGTGGTGCATGCCTGTAGTCCCAGCTACTCGGGAGGCTGAGGCATGAGAATTGCTTGAACCTGAAGGGCAGAGGTCGCGGTGAGCCAAGATCGTGCCACTGCATTCCAGCCTGGGCGACAGAACGAGACTCCATCTCAAACAAACAAAAAAACAAGAAATGGAGCTTTCTCAGGCACAATTTCTTCTTGATCCAAAGATTTCTGAATGAAAAGACATGACACTCATCCCCAAAGGGGAGGGATGGAGGCACATCACAGTCACTTTCTTTAATGATTCTGAAACCTAGCAAAGCAGGTGTGGCCAGTGCTCCCTAGTCTGAGAAAAAGGAATATTCCTTGATTAGGGCCCAGCTCTGCGCCCTCTAAGTGGCCCCCTAATTCTTTTTCCTCTATGACTCTTGGCTCTGCCTTCTGAGAGCATCTTCCTTTTGTATAAGAAATAGCCTATGTTTCAGGAACAGAAAACCAAACACTGCATGTTCTCACTCATAAGCGAGAGTTGAACAGTGAGAACACATGGACACAGGGAGGGGAGCATCACACACTGGGGCCTGTCGGGGAGTGGAAGGCAAGGGAAGGGAGAGCATTAGGACCAATACCTAATGCATGTGGGGATTAAAACCTAGATGACAGGTTGATGGGTGCAGCAAACCACCATGGCACATGTATACCTATGTAACAAACCACATTCTGCACATGTATCCCATAACTTAAAGTAAAATGTAAAAAAAAAAGAAAAGAAAGAAATAGGCTGTGTTTGCAGCTGATTAACTTTCTCAGTTTGTGTTCTGCCCTGAGACATTTGGGACAGAGAGAGCTTTTTTCATTTTGGACTCTATCTGTCCCTTTAATCCAAACTAGCAACAGTCAGTACAACTCGCCTAAAAACTTGGAGGGTTTTCTCTAAGTCTTGTTAGGATTTCCCACATGTCTCAACAGCTGCATCCATAATTCTTTTCAGGACAGACCCCTTTCCACTAGGTGTATAGGCTGCTGTGGAACGGAGCCTTGAAGTGTCTTAGAAGCCCGTTTCACTACCTGGGAGAGAAGGTCTGCTAGGTATGACCTTAAATCTTTGTGAGATGTTTACGAAAGGTATTACAGCCACACCTTTGAATTGTTCCCTAACCTGCCACCAGGTCCTACTTTGAGAATCTTGTGCCACCACAAGAAACTGGAGACATGAAATAATTTTATTTTCTACCTTAGCAAGTCCTAGTTCTTCTATATTTTCTCTAAATTCTACCTGCAAACTGAACAGTTCTCTCCTTAGCTCATTTTTATCTTCCTATACCTGATCAATTGTATACCCAGTTAAAATAAGTTCATTGACCCTTCAGCATCCTACCTAGAAACCCCCTTGGCCACACGGGCATATTTATCAGGTACACTTCCTGTCCTCTAACCCGCTCTGTAGGTGCCACTTGTGTCAGTGCTTCACGGTGACAGTGTGGCTTGCTCTTTATCCAGCCTCTGATGATGCCTTCTGGCTTTGCAGGCTCACTCATGCTCCACCATCTCTCCAGTCCCCAACACAGCCCCTCACAGCTTTTCTCAGTTTTGCCTGCTGCATAGTCCAAAAGACAACGTTACATGTTTTTATAACAGCAGCACCCCACTTGTAGGTACCAATTTTTGTTTCAGAGTTCAATCAGAGTTCACACAAAAACCTGCACATGAATGTTCATGGCAGGGTTATTTGTAGTAACCATAAAGGAGCCTGGAAGCAACCCAGGTGTCCATCAGCAATGAATGGATAAAGGACATGTGGCCTATCCACACAGTGGGACGTTAATATTCAGACTTTACAAGGACTGCAGCACAGATGTATGCTAAAACATGGACAGACCTTAAAAATATTATGCTAAGTGAAAGAAGTCAGACACAAAAGACTGCATATTTTATGATTCTATTTATATTTGGTGTCCAGAATAGGCATGGAGACAGAAAACAGATTAGTGGTTGCCAGGGGCTGGGGGCAGAGGAGAATGGGGAGTGACTACTAATGGGTACAGGGTTTCTTTTGAGGGTGGAAGTAGATATTGACAGTGGTTGCACAACTTTGTGAACCTACTAAATGCCACAGAATTCTACATTTTAAAGGGGTCAGGTTTATTATATATAAGTTATATCTAAACTTTTTACAAAGTTTAACCAGGGACGGTCACTGTGAGTGACATGGGAGAAGGGGCATGGCAATTTAATGTTACACAGTTGTGAAGGAGCCTGGTGGTGACGATGTAGTAGGGGAGCTGGAGATCTGAGGAGGAATCACCATCAGTCAGTGAGTGGCCGCACTTATCCAGCTGCCACAGTAGAACCCAGAGGGCCTTCATGGGGAGTTCTGTGGGAAGCAGATACCTCTGTGCAGCTACCTCCTCTGGGGGCCACAGCCAAACCCCGTCATGGAGCAGGGACGGCATAGTCAGGAAGAAGAGTTGCCCATGGAGTGGAGTGAGTGAGGAGAAGCTGGTACCCATGGACACTTCTGCATCAGTCCTGCATCTGATGACAAGAAAAAGCCTTTCAGAGACTAAAGGCCACTGCTTCAGGTCTGCATTCCAGATGTCACACAAGTTCCTCTTTTGGCCAAGTCTAGACAAGAGCCTAATAGTGAAGGAGCTTCTTAGAAATGTAGTTCCTGGGTTAGCCAAGCTGACCTGGCACAGATGGTCATGATATTTAAGAACAGAGGTTCCTGTAGCTCACGTGAATGATGGCAAGGCCCTGACAGAGCATTTGGCATGGAGACGGGAAAAAACAATGGATTGCTACAAGTGCAGAGGCCTAGTAGGTGACACAGCCAGTGTGCTAGGAGCAGGAAGGGTAGTGCTTTTGTGACAGCTATTTCAGGGCTTCAGTGGGAGGGGGAGCGCTGCAGCAAATGGTGACATGGAATTTGGGCGTTGAGCATGGAACCACCTACATATAAATAGTGTTGTTATTCTAACCATGAGACTGTGGAGAAGTCAATCACAAGAAGCTTGGGTGGTTGAGCTTGATGAGTAAAACGCTTATGTAGAATCAGACTATCAAGACCAAGATATGTAAAATATTTTTGTTCATTGTATTTGTAATCTCAGAAAGTCTGTTTATTATGTCTGTAATCTCAGAACAGTCAGAAAAAGTATTTCATGAAATTCAAATAATTTGTATATGTATTTTACTTAGGGAAAGGATTTTGCACAAGCCAGCAGCTATGCAGATATAGCTGTGAACTCTGATAGATATAATCCAGCAGCTCTTACTAATAAAGGGAATACAGTTTTTGCAAATGGTGATTATGAGAAGGCCGCTGAATTCTATAAAGAGGCTCTAAGAAATGATTCTTCTTGTACTGAAGCGCTTTATAATATTGGTAAGTGAAACAAGGCGAAATTGCTTTTTAAATTATTTATTTTTTGCTTTGTATTTGTTTTTGTTTTGTTTTGCTTAAAGAGCTCAAACACATCAGGAGGAGGAGTTGACTTCCTTCTAACAGAAAATTGAAGACTACAGCCTCTCAGATTATAGTTTATTTTAAATGGAATTAATGATTCAGAAGCTATGCACTGCAAAATTTGGATCAGGCTTGCTATACTGCCCTCTAAAAAGGCTTTTCCATCACAGTGTATAATCCTAATTTCCCAAATTTCTGCTAATACTGGATATTATCATTCTTTTTAACTTTTGCCAAGCTGATAGATGGGAAAAAATCCCGTTTGCTTACTTTTTAATTATGAACAATTTCAAACATACATAAAAGTACACACAAGAAATAAGTACCCGTGTACCTATCACCCCAGTTTAACACATTTTCACATTTTGCCATCTTTACTTCAGATTTTGTTTTTAATAAGCCAAATATTACAAGCCATGGAGTCTTACCACCATCACATTCTCTTCCCCGCCTTTCAGAGGTTGCCTGAAGTGGAGCATCATCATCCCGGGCATGAATATCACGCCGGGCATGAATTTGCAGTTTTGCAAACGCCTGTCCGTACAGTACTGGGTCTTGTCTCTTGGATTGTTAATAACGTTTCCCTGCCTAGGTATTTTTTGCTTTCTTTGGTTTGCTTATTTTATTCTCCTTTCTATGTTATGTCAGGAGTTTATGGCTAAAAACTGAGTGGAATCTCTAGGTCTATGAAGGAGATTGATGGGTTGGTACTTTGCTGTAGGGCATCTGTCTGGTCTGGTCTGTTTAGTTGGAGACCTGCCCATAAGTCAATTGTATCTTTCCTCCCAGAAGAGACTCTTTAATCTCCTGCCTGAAGGAGGAGGGAAGGCCTACTGCCAACCTTGAAGTATAGGGGAGGCGAGAAGGAATTAGCCATGGGAGAGCCTGATTGAGAATGTATGTTTCAAGTCACTGAACAAAGGGAGGCTATGACCACTTGGGTATCTGGGAAGAGAGCATTGAAGAGAGGCACAAAGGTCTTCATGCAGGAGCTTTTTTCCTAGATATATCCTTATTTATTTGTTTTGTAACTATTAAATATTTCTCCTTTCTCCATTGCTTAGATTTTTAACTTTGTTTCTAATTTCTTCTATGGAAGAATTGTTTTATTATTGATATAGTAAAATTTGTCTTTTTTTTTTTTTTTTTTTTTTGAGACTGAGTCTCACTCTGTTGTCCAGGCTGGGGTGCAGTGGCATGATCTCAGCTCACTGCAACCTCCGCCTTCCAGATTCAAGTGATTCTCCCGCTGTAGCCGTCCAAGTAGCTGGAACCACAGGCACGCTCCACTATGCCAGTCTAATTTTTTGCATTTTTAGTAGAGACAGGGTTTCACTGTGTTGGCCAGGCTGGTCTCGAACTCCTGACCTCAAGTGATCCACCTGCCTCGGCCTCCCAAAGTGATGGGATTACAGGCGTGAGCCACCACGCCTGGCCAAATTTGTCTTTTAAAAAAATTGTGTTTATTGCTTTATTCATTTGTTTATTGCTTTATGAAGCCCTTCTTACCTTCAGATTATAAATCATTTTTCTATATTTTCTTTTCATAGTCTTCTTATAGCTTTGTTTTTTCTGTTGAGTTTCAAAATTTTGAGTTCATTTTTTATGAAATAAGAATCTACATTTAAAAAAATTAATGGCCAGGCACAGTGGCTCATGCATGTAAATCCCAGCACTTTGGGAGGCTGAGGCGGGCGGATCACAAGGTCAGGAGATGGAGACCATCCTGACTAACACAGTGAAACCCCAATCTCTACTAAAAATAGAAAAAATTAGCCAGGCGTGGTTGCAGGCACCTATAGTCCCAGCTACTCGGGAGACTGAGGCAGGAGAATGGCGTGAACCCGGGAGGCAGATTTTGCAGTGAGCCGAGATCATGCCACTGCACTCCAGTCTGGGCGAAAGAGCAAGACTCTGCCCGCCCCCCAACACACACAAAATAATAATAATGTATAGTCGGTTGTTCTGGCACCACTTATTACTAGCATTTTCCTCCCCACTGATTTTAAATGTCTTTAAACTCTATAACTGAGTGCATTTCTGAACTATTTGTTCTGTTCTATTGGTCTGTCTATTCCTGCCCCCCACTACACTTTTAAAATCACTGAAGCTTTGTAGCATCTTTTGGTGTCTGCCAGTGGAGAATCCCCACCCTAACATTATTCTTTAAAAACATTCTCAGTTGGCCGGGTGTGGTGACTCATACCTGTAATCCCAGCACTTTGGGAGGCTGAGGCAGGTGGATCTCTTGAGGCTAGGAGTTCCAGACCAGCCTGAGCAACATGGCAAAATCCTGTCTCTACTAAAAATACAAAAAATTAAATGGGCATAGTAGCACACGCATATAATCCCAGCTACTTGAGAGGCTGAGGTAGGAGAACCACCTGAGCCTGGGAGGTCGAGGCTGCTGTGAGCCATGTTTGCGCCACTACACTCCAGCATGGGCAGCAGGAGTGAGACCCTGTATCAAAAAACAAAAACCTCAGTTCATCTTCATTTTCTCTTTTGGATAAATATTTACATATATTTTGAGATTTATTCTGTTAACGTTAAATAAATTAATACCAATAATGACGCTTATAGGTTTTCTTTTTTTTCTTTTTCTTTTTTTTAAGGCCTTACCTATGAGAAACTAAATCGGCTGGATGAGGCTTTGGACTGTTTCCTGAAACTTCATGCAATCCTACGAAACAGTGCCGAAGTTCTTTACCAGATAGCAAATATGTATCTTATTTGAAAAACTTAGGGACAGTTATTAATTCTCTCAATTGGTGATTGAAGATCAATTATTAAATAAGTTTAATGAAGTAATTGAGGATAATATTTGAAGTAAGTGATAAGGATAATCTAACTAGCAGATTATCATGTGATAAAAAAATCATTTGAGTAATGCTATTTTAAAATGTTATTTGCATTGAAAGAGGAATTAATGGTTAAAACTATTATTTATTAAATTTTGAAAATAACTGAAGTAATTATGACATTTTGGGTACATATAAACCATTCATTGAAAGTCAGTTTGGGGCTTTAGAACATTGTATTAATTCTGAAGCTTGTAGGGTATCATTGAAGCACTAACTTACTAAATAAAATACTGTTTATTACTGATTCGTACTATTGATTGAGTTCGGATAATTTTTCTTATTTTTTTAACTGACCTGTAGCTATAATGAGGTGTCCAAAGACTGTTACCCTCTAAAATTATGTAATTCTTCATATGAACTCACTCATTCATTCTGTTCATTTAATAGTCATTTATTGAATGTATACTATGTGTATCAGTATTATGTTTCAAACTCAGGGGAATGTAGAACTACAAAATGTTGCCCTCATATCAGTTTCTTCCACAACACGTAGCTTTTTAAATAAGCCCTGCTCTTGGTTAAAAAAGCAGAAATGTGTTAATATTTTTAATGCTTTTCATGCTATTTGAAAAGCACTTTAATTTCTCTCCTTATTTTAGTGAGCTTTGGCCACAATGTTGGGAAGCGTTAAACATGTTAGGTAGGTTTTCAGGTTACTGTTATCTTGATTTAAATTTTATACAGATATGTTTAGAAAATTTTATATGTCATAAGGTGTACCATTAATAATTTTAAGTACCATCTGCTGTACTTTTGATAAAGAATTTTGTTTAAACATTTTAGTTTTAAGCCAGGCACAGTGGCTCATGCCTGTAATCCCAGCGCTTTGGGAGGCCGAGGCAGGCGAATCATTTGAGGTCAGGAGTTCGAGACCAGCCTGGCCATCATGGTGAAACCCCATCTCTACTATAAATACAAAAATTAGCCAGGTGTTGTGGCAGGCACGTGTAATCCCAGTTACTCCCAAGACTGAGGCAGGGGAATCACTTGAACCTGGGAGGCAGAGGTTGCAGTGAGCCAAGATAGTGCCATGGCACTCTAGCCTGGGTGCAGAGCTAGACTGTCTTAAAAAAAAAAAAAAAAAAAATTAGTTTTAGATCAGATAGCATCATAGTTACTCCTGTTAGTCTTTTTGTTCATTTAATTTCTCTGAAACTGCTAGTGTCATTATCTTTTACTACCCAATTCATGATCAGCTAGGATCAAGTCAAGCAATTGATATATTTGAGACTGTTTGAGTACATTTCCATTTTTTTTTCTTGTGGTATCACACTTGTCATCATTAAAAACAGTAGATTTTTCTGGTGTCACCCTTGTCACCATTGAAAACAGTGCTTCTTTTTCAATAAACTTTGGATTGGAATATCTTCATTTCACTGAAATACCTAATATGTATAAAATAAATAGTAATTAGTCAAAAAGTATTGGTATGAATAAATTATTTGTATATACACAGAAGACTTAGTAGGTACTGAAGAAAGTTACAAAAAAAAAAAAACAAAACCCACTATCCTTGGGTTTATAATCTAATTAGGGAAAACTCACAGGAAAAACACATGAAAGTAATTCCCTTAATATGCTGAACATGTTAAGAGAGAGAGAATAACTGGATGCAACATTCAGGACATTTTTATTAAGGACAATTTTTGGACAATACTTTGAATAATTCTACCAGAAATTTGGGAGTTGATCTTAGTGGATAGTAATGAAGGAAAAGGGAAAGCAGGCTATACATAGGGAGCGAGAATGTTACCTCCACAGTACTGCTGCATTCCATCTCCACCCCTGAGAAATCCAGAGGAAACACTACACAATAGCACATTACTGTAGGCTAAGAAATATTGTTACTGTAATGTTTTTTAAGTTTGTTTATTGGTTAATGAATTTAGAAAACGTGTTTTCCTTAACTGACATTGCCTAAGATATGAATTAATGGAAAATCCCAGTCAAGCTATTGAATGGCTAATGCAGGTGGTCAGTGTTGTTCCAACCGATCCTCAAGTTTTATCTAAACTGGGAGAATTATATGATCATGAAGGAGATAAATCTCAAGCATTTCAATATTACTATGAGGTAGGTGTGTTATCTTAATTTCCTTCTGTGTTTTAGCATTTTATGAATTGTTATAAAGGCAGCAAGACTTCGAAATTTTAGAAGATCTTCCCAGTTTTAAAATGATTTATTTAAAATAAAGCATTCTTGGAAAATGAAGTTTTTGTTTTGTTTTGTTTTGAGATAGTCTTGCTCTGTCGCCCAGGCTGCTGCACAGTGGTGTAGTCTCGGCTCACTGCAGCCTCCTCCTCCTAGGTTTAAGCAGTTCTCTTGCCTCAGCCTCCCGAGTAGCTGGAATTACAGGCGCCTGCCACCACGCCCAGCTAATTTTTGTATCTTTAGTAGAGGGACATTTCACCATGTTGGCCAGGCTGGTCTCGAACTCTTGACCTCAGCTGATCTGCTCACCTCAGCCTCCCAAAGTGATGAGATTACCACCACGCCAGGCATGAGGTTAGTTTTTTACTTGTTTTAATGAAAAAAAATGAAATAGGTCTGGGTGAGGTGGCTCACATCTATAATCTCAACACTTTGGGAGGCCAGAGTGAGAGGATTGCTTAAGACCAAGAGATCAAGACCAGCCTAGGCAACATAACAAGACCCCATCTCTAAAATAATAATTGTAAAAGGATAGGTGTGGTGGCCCTTACCTTTAATCCCAGCACTTTGGGAGGCCAAGGAAGGCAGATCACTTGAGGCCAGGAGTATGTGACCAGCCTGGCCAACATGAGGAAACCCCCTCCCTACTAAAAATACAAAAATTATCCAAGTGTGGTTGTGGCATGCCTGTAATCCTAGCTACTCAGGAGACTAAGGCACAAGAATTACCTGAACCCAGGAGGCAGAGATTGTAGTGAGCCAAGATCGCATTTAGTACACTCCAGGCTGGGTGACAGAGCGAGACTGTCTTAAAATAATAATAATTAATAATATTAATAATAAAAAGAAGTATAAATTCATTTTTCTCTTGAAGCACGATTTGCATCTCTTTTTTATTCTTTTAAATATTTAATTGAACTCAGCTCATATATTGTTATAGCAAAAGTATTTACAGATAATTGAAAAATGTGTCAAGCAAAGCTTAGGTTTTCTAAATATTATAGAGTTTCAGAATTTACAAAGTACTTAGGACAGCTCATACTCCTTTATTAAGAAATGTCATATTGGATAAATTTATTCAATAGGTAAAGTATTCAAGAAGTAAATTATATGTTGCCATTGAAGTTGTGTTGTTACATTCCATATATTTTTCCAGTCATATAGGTATTTTCCTTGTAATATGGAAGTCATTGAGTGGCTTGGAGCCTATTACATTGACACCCAGTTTTGGGAAAAAGCCATTCAGTACTTTGAAAGAGCTTCTCTTATACAGTAAGTAATCATTAGGATTTTATGTTTAGTTAATGTCATGTCTTGAGTTTTTTTAATCCCTAGAATTAGTATCTGATTTCAAGAACAGATGTTGATGGACGGACATTCATAAATTATTTTTGTTTGTTTGTTGTTTGTTTGAGACGGAGTTTCGCTCTTGTTTCCCAGGCTGGAGTGCAATGGCATGATCCTGGCTCACTGCAACCTCTGCCTCCTGGGTTCAAGCGATTCTCCTGCCTCAGCCTCCCGAGTATCTGGGATTACAGGCATGTGCCACCACACCCGGCTAATTTTTTGTATTTTAGTAGAGACAGGGTTTCACCATATTGTCCAGGCTTTTCTCAAACTCCTGACCTCAGGTGATCCACCCGCGTCAGCCTCCCAAAGTGCTGGGATTACAGACATGAGCCACTGCATCTGGCCAAATTATTTTTATTTTCTTATATTTTATTCTATTTGACTTGGTATTTATTGTGATAAATATATTTCCCTTTGCATAGAATTTTAAAATATCCTCTTTAAGGTACTTTTCTTTATGTGTTTTTCTTATTCATACCTCAGCAAACAATTATTATTTCTTTATCAATGAGAAAATGACTATTTTCTTTGTCCTAGGACAAAGTTTCATTTCTAAAAGAGTCTTAATACAAAACAGTTTTATTGGTTTCAATTTATAATTGATATATATTAAAAATTAAAATTTTTCAATGTCCTTAAGTTACATATGTATACATGTGCCATGTATACATGTTACATATGTATACATGTGCCATGTATACATGTTACATATGTATACATGTGCCATGTATACATGTTACATATGTATACATGTGCCATGTTGGTGTGCTGCACCCATTAACTCGTCATTTACATTAGGTATATCTCCTAATGCTATCCCTCCCCACCCCCGCACAATAGGACCCAGTGTGTGATGATCCCCTTCCTGTATCCAAGTGATCTCATTATTCAATTCCCACCTGTGAGTGAGAACATGTGGTATTTGGTTTTCTGTTCTTGCGATAGTTCGCTGAGAATGATGGTTTCCAGCTGCATCCATGTCCCTACAAAGGACACGAACTCATCCTTTTTTATGGCTGCATAGTATTC